ATAAAAATTTAAAAAGTTACATAGTAAATTCTAGCAGTAAATAAATTCTGTTTTCTTTTTTACCATCTAGGCAAAAAAGTAATAATGGAACTTTGGAATTGCAAATTCTTTAAATAACTAATTAGTATTAATGTAGCGGCAGACTGACATTTAGAAGAAGACTTTTAGGGGCTGTGATGCTGTTTCCAGTTTGGAGGTCTTCATTCTGTGGTAGTCTTCACTGCAACAATTTAAATGATACTGTCAAAGGAATGTGAATATAATATTTTGTGCGCTTGTATACTTTGTTTATATGTAAAACAGGTGCTGGCCTCTTGTAACTGCTCAAATAATACAGACAATGTTAATTTTAACATTCATTGAGTTCAAATTAACAAAAACTTTAAAAGGAAAGATCTTTTGAGTTAGAATCAACTTGACAGCAACTTTTTTTTTTTCTCTCCCTTGCTCCTGGATCTTTTGTAGCTATCTGACATCTCTCCCCAAATAAACCCAAACTAACCCCACTGCCGTGGAGTCTATTCCAACTCATAGCAATCCTATAAGACAGAGTCTACTCTGCCCCATAGGGTTTTCAAGTCTGTAAATCTTTATAGAAGCAGACTGCCACATCTTTCTTCTGCAGAGCAGCTGGTGGGTTTGAACCGCCAACCTTTTGGTTAGCAGCCAAGCACTTTAACCACTGCACCACCAGGGTTCCTTCTCCCCAAAATAAAGCACCCATAAAAGCTAAACAAATGCCCTTCGAAGTCCGCGGTGACTCTTTTCCAGGTTTCCCCTCACTGATTTATGACCATTCTTGCTGCAATCCCACCCTGTCCTAGGGCGGGTAACAAGGCACAGAAGCCAGCAGCAACGACTCGAGCCAGACGGCTCGGCTGCAGAACCTGACTTCACAACTTAGTCGCTATGTGACCTTGGGCAATTTACTCGGTGGCTCTGGGTCTCATTTTGTCATCTCTAAAACAGGGACAATAATGGCATCCACTCATAGGGCTGTGTGGGTTATTAAGTTAATAAACGTGAAGCACTTAGAACGATGCCCGGCACATGAGCATTGTGTGCGTGCCGGCTGTCACCAGAAATCTGCTTTTCTAGCCTTATCCAATCCTGCCGCTTGTCTGGTGGATTTGACCGTGTATAGCAGGTCTTCCTGGTGCTCGAGCCTTAGACTTCCCACGACGTCTCCCCCTTGGCTGTCTCCCTGCCACCTCCGGCAGGGTCTGTCTGTGCCTGCAGCGGTCTGCACACCTAGCTGCAGACTTCCAGCATCTCCTTTTGTCCCTCAGATCTCACCTCAAACATCACCTCCTCGGGGAAGCCGTCCCTGACTCCCAGGCTAGATTAAGTGTCCCACATTTTAAGCTCCCTAGCCCCTTTAATTTTCCTTTACAGCAGTCATCAGAATCTGTAACTCTGTAGTTATGTGATTATTTAATAAATATGTGTCTTATACTAAAATGTAAGCTCCCTGAAGGCAGGGTCAAAATCCATTTGTCATCATTATATCCCCAACATCACAGTGTTGGGCCTAGAGTAGGTGCTTAACAGATATTTGTAAAATATATGAATAAATTACTTTCAGAGATGAGAAATCTAGGGCATAAGTGAAAGGAGCTCTGGTGGCGCAGTGGTTAATCGCTCGGCTGCTAACCAAAACGTCGGTGGCTGGAATTCACCAGCTACTCCATGGGAGAAAGATGTGGCAGTCTGCTTCTGTAAAGATTACAGCCTAGGAAATCTATGGGGCAGTTCTACTGTGTCCTGCAGGGCTGCCGTAAGTCGGAATCGACTTGATGACACGCAGCAACAAAACATTAAGTGAACACGATTTGCCCAAGATTCTACCACTATAAATAATAAAACTAGAAATGAAATTCAGTTCTTCTGATTCAAAGTTCTCTATTTTCCCCAAGCCTTAAACCTTCGATTACACAAGTCATTCAAAGACCCATGCAACCAGTATTGTGTTGGTTCTACAATGCAAAGTAAAACAGCAAATGAGTGAGCATAACATGAGTATCTGAGGTGGTCTGGGGAAACCGAGTCTCCTGGAGCAACAGATATTTAATCCGTCAAGGACAAGGAAGCGTTAGACTGGGCACGCAGAGAGGGGCAGAAGATTCCAGGCAGAAATACCACTTATGTGGGGATGGAAAAGCTTGGTGAGTAAGAACAGAGAAGAGGCCACTGTGACTGTATAACAGAATGAGTAGGAAGTGGGAGGCTGAGGTTGATCAAAGGGGCAGGGCCAGACCAAGCAAGGCCTGTTGTACCAAGGAAAGAACTTTGTTCTTTAACAGCAAGGGAGAGCAACCGAAGGGTTTGAGGTAGGAGATAACACAACCCGCTCTGCATTTTCATGAGATGATGCTCACTACACTATGGGGGTTTGGGAAAGAGCAGAAATTTGGCACTGAAATCAGGATTATGGCAGTGGAGATAAAGAGATGGATGGATCTGAGAGGTTTTTAGAGGTCACATCAACAGACTTAGTAACTGGTTGGATATGGGGGTCAAGACAGAGGGACATATCAAGATGATGCTCAGGTTTCCTGCCTCATCAACAGGGGGTTCGTGGAGCCATTTACTGTTAAAGATCTGTTCGTAGACTGATCAAGGATTTAATTTCACTAAGAACCCTGCTGGTGCAGTGGTTAAGTGCTCGCTGCTAACCAGAAGGTTGGTGGTAGGAACCCACCAGCTGCTCTGTGGTAGAAAGATGTGGCAGTCAGCTTCCATAAAGATTAGAGCCTTGGAGACCCTATGGGGAAGTTCTACCCTGTCCTATAGGGTGGCTATGAGTCAGAACCGACTGAAGGGCAATAGTATTTTTTTTCAGTGTATAATAAGCTGTCAAAAACCAGTAGCAATTATTATTGTTTTTATGGTTATTGTTGTCACTGATGATTGAAAACCACTTGCTATGGTTGAAAAATATGTTTTTATGGATTTCCATGGACTTGGGCATGATGGGCTGCTCAGATGTGCACACAGGCCCTTCTGGACTTGGTGTTGGGGAAAGGAAGTCACCCAACAAGCTAGGAATACAACTGAGCCTCATCAAGTAAAAACCTTTCTCACCTCCAGTCTGGTTCCAGGACGGCTGGGATAACACTGTGGGGCAAACATGAGCACATAGCCTTTCTCTCTCTCGAGTTTCCTCCTTTCCCCAAGAATCAAGACATTTTAGATCTGAGGATGTGACGATGGCCAACAGCTGCACGTGGGAAACCTATAAAATTAGCCTTAATTGGCCTTCTGGGCTGAATAATGGATGAGCACAGACAGCTCAAAGGATTTTCCTATAAATTGGGTTAGGGGACAGCAAGCAAAGAAATTTAGAGGTGTGCTTAGTGTTTTGATCTCACAGAATGCATTTTACACCTTATTTTCTCGTCTAGATTTCATTTACATCCTGTCTTTGCCTCGTGTGGCACTCTGTCACGTGCATTCACATTGCTTCGGTACAGTAACACATAGAATGCCTAGTAAGACCATTAGTTGGCAGCATAGACTATGCAGCCCATTTGAACTCTGGTGAACCAGGGCTGCCTGTACAAGCATGCAGGGAGGCTGCTAAGCCTTCCCGTGTGACCGGCTGAGGGCCACTGCCTGTTCCCTAGAGAGGCAGCACGACTCATCAGGATTAGCCCATGGTGTTAGTGAGGATCCCTGCTATCATCACCCCGTTCATCCTGTTAAGAAGCCCCGGAGAATATAGGTGGATGGCAAACGCATTAAACAAACCAAAGGGGCACGTCCATTTCAGAAGTTTGAAGCCCCGAGTTGAGAGATTCTACAGTATATAATCTACACGCTGGGAACCCTGGTGGCACAGTGGTTAAAATGCTCAGCTCCTAATCAAAAAGGTTGATGGTTCGAATCCACCAGCTGCTCCTTGGAAACCTCGTGGGGCAGTTCTACTCTGTCCTAGAGGGTCGCTGTGAGTTGGAATTAACTCGATGGCAACGGGCTTGGTTTTCTGGCTTTAGTTTATCGCCGTTAATTATTAAGCTACGAAAAAGCATCTAATACTACTTATTTCCACTCTTTGCTTAAAAGTGAACATCTTCTTGACTGCTTAATACAATTTGGGTAATTTGCAATATTGTTTAACTTAGTATAATTCAGCAAGATGTGAAACATGCTCTGTTAACTATAACACAACAGCCAGTTACCATTGGCATCTATCCCTCTTACTAACCAACCCTTGTTTACACTAACTTCAGAGTTTTAGCTTTTGACACTTGCTAAAGAGAAGACATTTTGATTACCATCCAGAAATTCTGAAGAAGAGAATTGTTTCCCCCTCCTGGCTGGAAGCCTGCGTTTGAGAACCAGACTGAGTGATCACAAACAGTCCGCACCGCTTACTAGCTAGGCAATCGGTCTCTTTCCGTGCCTTACGTTCCTGCAGGAACTTCAGAAGCTCATCTGTAAAGCAGGACAAAGTAGTACCTATCGCAAAGGGTTGTTTAAGGTATTAAACGTTTTCTTACATGTAAGGCACTCAGAGCTGCATTGGGCACATAGTATGTGCCCCCAAAATACTAGCCCCTATCATCATCATTGTCATCATTATTTTCCTTCTGAAACATAAACATTCATTCTGTTCTTGGGCACTGGGAAAAAGAATCTATAAAATACATATTTAACTTCTGCCTCTGTATGTCTCAGCCTTATCAGAAGCATAACTCTTTCTTATTTCCCACTCAGTAGGCTGTCTTTAATCTAGTGGGTCTCAAGTCTTTTACACAGACACCTTTATAACGTATCAGAACGTTTCAGGAACTTCCACATGACACAATCTACAACTTTAGGGTCCTTTGATTAGGAAAATACATATGAACTGAGGGATTTAAGGACCCCAGGCAATACCACCATCGCCCCTCCAGGGTCTGAGACTCATGGGTTAGGAAGCACAACTTGAGTCGATAAAGAACATATTGAGATTGAGATGTAATGCAGTGGGTCCAAGCTCTCTTGGCCTCTCTTACCTCGCCCATGACTGCGATCGGGGTCTCTCCTGTTGCCTGGGCAACACGATGCTCTACTAAGTAGAACATATACTCATCATAGAGGAGACGGATCAGGTGGAAGGAGCCAAAGCTAGCAGCACTGCGCAAGGTTAGGTCCCGAATAACCATCGAGCTGTTCCAAGAGAAAAGACAGATGTGCAGCCGACATTAGGAGCCAGGATAAGAGAGCAATCTACTTTTCCTCTTAAAAGAAGTGAGGGGACCTATCAGGTCGGTAGGGCACAACGCTTGCCATGCAACAATTTCATTACTGAAAGTAGTTGGCTCAACTGGTTTAAACAGGGTGCGAGAGAGGTAATCCTTACCGAGGCTTGATCCCTATTAGAGCGAAACAGGTCTGTGTTGAGAACACTGTTTTACTATCAGAGGCAAGTCTGCTGACTCTACTAAACTCACAGATTGAATAAAGATTCTGAAAGGTTGACAGCTCATTGTCTTCAAAAGAAAAAGCAACTCAAAGGAAAAGCTTACTGATGGTGGGTTGACACTTGGTCATCTCTCAGTGGTAATGACCTTCGGGGTACACGTTGGGAAAAAAATGTATTGGTAACAGGCAAAGTTTACAAAATATACTAAGCCATGTTCCCAGATTGGCAATGTAGAGCAGAGATGGGTATATGCGAGTCCTTGCAAGTTGTGGTGGAAGGCAAATTTATTAGGTGATTCCCATGTTCTTACTGATTTCCATTTAAATTAAGGTTATTTTCCACTAGAAAGGAGCCTAGTAAAACCAATTAAGAATCCATACCTTTGAAAAATGTGAACATTTAATTTATAAAATATAAATATTAGCACCAAACTATGAACAATATTATTAATAAAATACAAACAATAAACTCTTACTATATTCAAAACAAAATTTTGGCCTTATTGAATTTAGAACTCTGAAAGCGAACTGTTAAAAACAGGTGATTACCTTCAGATATGATAAAATACATGACAAAATTCTGTTTATAACTGTTTATAATTCTATGGACGCCTTTCTTAAAATCAAGTGATGCATCACCCATTTGAAAAAATAATTAATATGAATATGATAGCTATTTGAAATTCAACATTTCTGTTCCTATGAAACATTTTTAAAAGGTAGAGAAACGTCTACTTAAAAAGAGCAAAAGCAAAAACAACACAAAAGTAACAATAAAATGTTACATAACATTTTTACCCTCACTAATCACCTGGTCATGTGAAGTAAATGATATTGAAAAATGAAATCATGCAGGAGCAGAGTATTTGCCCCTAACTGTATCTCTCTTGCTGAAGAAAGACAGCAAATATTTAAAATATAGCTTGGAGAAGGCAAGGAGCTAACAAACACCCAGAAATGTGACTAATCTTATTCAAAATTAAAAGGAATGCAAATTACAGTAGGGTAGTATCTATCATCTGTTGTACGGTAAAAGGTTAAGAAACGCAGTGCTGCAGAGCGCGTGGGAAAAGAACTCTCACCGTTTCTGCACGTATAAAATCATGAAATCTTTGTGCAGAGCAATTTGGCACTATCTGCCAAAATTTAAAATGCACAAATCCTTTGGGCTGGCAACTATCATTTTAGAAATTTACGTGAGTAAAGATATTTGTAATATTTGTACTAGTGAGAAACTAGGGAGGAAAACTAAATGTCAATTAGTAGGCTGCTGGCTAAATAAATTATGGTTGATTCATATACTGGGTTTTATGCAATAGCCAAAAAAATGAGGTAGACATACTGGTAGACAGGAAAGACATCTATGACATACTGTTAGGTTACAGAAGCAAAATATATAATATAAACCCACTTGCATAAAGCTGTCTTTATAGTTTTTAAAAAACCCTACCCCTAAATAAACGGGACTGCTTAATCGTTTATCAGCACTGAGAGAACACACCTCAGTAAACGGTATTAGTCACCCTAAAAAGTTAATATCCTTTTACTCGAATTTATCTGAAGAAATATGTACAATTTTATACACAAATAGTCACTACAATATTTTTATCATATCAAAACCATCAAAGACCACCTAAATGTTTAAGAATAAAAGAATAAGGGAACATTTTAATAATTTTTTAAACACGCACATAATGGAATATTATGCGAACATCAAAAATTATCCTTCTGAAGACATTTAATAACAAATGCTCGAGATGTAATGTTAAATGAAAAATGTTAAGGAAAAATACAGGCAACAAAACGAGGGTAAACAATTGGACCCCAATTTTATATAACACTAAAAGAAAACACTTTACTAGTAGTTATTTCTGGGAATTAAAATTATGAGTGATTTAAGTTTATTCTTTGCATATGTTTCGTATTTTCCAAATTTTATAAAGTGAGCACATATTAATTTTATAATCAGAAAAATGTTTGTTTGAAAAGATAATCATTGTAAGATCAAGAAAATACTGTTTATTTTTATGCAAATAATACACATCTTTTACATTCGTTTGCCAACCACTTCCTCTCCCCAAGAGGTAATTTTTTAAGTGCTCCTATGCCAGTTTTTTTTACACGTTGCTGTAAAAAAAATTAGCATAGCTTACTTACAAAAATACCTCTGGGGAGTGGGAAGGGAGCGGTTGGCAAACAAGTGTAGAAGGCGTACGTTATTTGAGTAAAAATGTAGTAATCCTGAGTCAGTTGAATGTCAATAAATCTTTGCAGGGGTAAATATCACAATACAGAATTGATTCTTTCTTTATATATTTCTAAATTCAAATTTTAGGCCTTAGTGTTTCCTTTAAAAGTAATAACCCTGAAATAATGTAAATGACTAAGAAGAATGTTGATACTGAGAAGTAGTTTTCTGATATCATTATAAAAATGCAAAGTCAATTATTTTTTTTTCTACGAAAATTCACATTTATTCATTTAACAGATATTTATTGTGTTAAGGTCTTGTTCTAGAACAAGTCAGACAAAAGTCTGGTTTTAACAGAGCTCATTCTAGTGAGCCACCAGTTTGTTGTACTGTGGTGGCTTGTGTGTTGCTATGATTCTGGAAGCTATGCCATTAGTATTTCAAATACTAGCAGGGTCACCCAGGGTGGACAGGTTTCAGTGGAAATTCCACACTAAGACTAGGAAGAAGGGCCTGGTGATCTACTTCCAAAAACTGGTCAATGAAAACCCTATGGATCACAACAGAATACTGTCTAATGTATTACTGGAAGGTGAATCCCCTAGATTGTAAAGCACTTAAAACACACAGTGGCCACAACATGAATTCAAACATGCCAAGGATCATGAAGATGGCACAGGACTGGGCACTGTTACAGTCTGTTGTGCACGGGGTCACCACGAGTAGGAGCTGACTCCTACCCTAACAACAACACAACAGCAACATTCTACTGGGAGATGAATCGACAAGCATACAAGTAGATATAAAATATACAGTTAGGTAGTGATAAATCCTTTGAAAGAAAATAAATCAGGGTAAGAAGCGAGAGGTGATGGGCGCAGGCATTTTAGGCTAGAGAGTTGGGGAAATTCTTTCTGAGGAGGTGATATCTGAGCAGAACTGGAGCCAAGAGGGTGAGAGCGTCCAGTGGACATACAGGTGAAGTTTTCCCGGCAGAAGGGTGAGCAGCGGCAAAGGCCTTGAGGCAGAACTATGTCTCATCTGTCAAAGAACACCTGGGAGGCCCGTGTGGCTAGAGGCCAGCCAGCAAAGAGACGAATGTGTGATTGGGGCCCCGGAGATCACTTGCAGCTAGACCGCGGAGGGTCTTGTAAGGCAATGATGAGGTCTTTGGATTTTTTTTTTTTTTTTTTTTTGGTCTGGCTCGTTTCACTCAAGATAATTATTTTGAGATTTGCCCATGTTCTATTGTTGGGTGCCGTCAAGTCGATTCTGACTCATAGCGACCCCTTGAGGCCTTTGGAGTTTTTTCTTAGTATTTTGGAAACTAGGCAATCACCTTACTTTAGCACAAAATATACACGCAATTCTAAATTTTGTTGGAAAATGGGGAAAAAAAGCCTGAGCTTCAGTTATAATATCTAGTTATTTTTTTTAATACTGATAAGCATGTCATGCAATTATTGCCACATGTTTAGAAAAGAATCAGTTGAATCATATTATTAACGCTATGTCTACTTTATTCTCTCCGTGTTGGGCCTTTGCCCTACACACTAAGTATTAAATGACACAATTAACAGCTGAATTGGAAACCTACTGTCCGATGCAGACTTCTGTAAGATATGTTGCAAAGCTGACTTCACTGAATGTCATGTTGCTAAGTTACCAGGAATTCAACTTCTTTTAAAATCAGAGCTATAAACATTAATTATTTTATAACAGATGAAAAATACCTTTGTGTATTTGTCTTTCTAACTCAGGTGTGGGAAGTGAAACACACACCCTAACGTGATACTCAGCCCACCTCTCTGTGTATTTGAGGGTGCATCACCCCTTGCCTCAGAAGAAAGGTGAGGGGACCACATCTGTCGCCCCCAGGTAAATTTCTCTTCGAATAGTGCTTCCGGTTGATTTAAAGAGAAAATTCCAGTTTGGAAGAGTCACTAATTGTCCAGTTGTAGGCAAACACGGCTCCCTATGTTTCTTTCAAATCACGGTATCAAAGCTTTAATTTCCTTCTTTAAAAGTGGGATATTTGCATGACCCTTTGGATGGCGTTCAGGAATGCTCTGTCACCCACAAAACACGCAAGCTGAGAAATGGCCCACATAACTTCTCCATTTCTGCTCAAGAAAGGGGGTGATTTTTTTTCTACCTCCCAGGGAGCCAACAGCAGCCATTCAAAGCCAGGTGAGCCAAGGAGAGAGACCCCTTTGGTGCAGAGGGTATGTGGTGCAGTATATTAACAGCTGGTAACACACTTCTCTGCCAGTTCACTTAAAGTGTATTTCTATGCGTATGGATACAGAGACAGAATTTTACGAATTATGAGATTGGGTATCTGACTTCAGAACACGAGGGGTCTGTATGCATGCCTGCCAAATTCTTATGACAACGCCAAAAACATTTGGAAAAAAGAAAAAAAAAACTTTAATTCTGCTTCTCTGATAGTTTGTGAATGCAGTTTTCATCATTCAGTATGTCTTATGCCTCAGTAAAAACGGTTCAGATTTTAAAGGCTCTTGCGTTTCTGAGCCATTGTCTTTGCCTACCAGCAGGAGGTCTGCATCTGTGTGGTTCTGCCTTTCCTTCTCTGGCCCTGAACTGTACGCCTTCAAGTCTTTTTGAAATGAAAATAATAACCAGAATGGTGTCTAATAATAACAAGCCAATTATCCCCAACTCAGGGAGGACAGAGGGCAGGTAAGTGATGATCTGCTGGGTTTGTATATCTGCAGAGAGCAAGAAATACAAGTGAGTTAATATTCTCTCCTTCCAAGATACCGGCGATGGATCTCTGTGGAGACGAGGGCTCTAGGAGTGTATTCTAAAATGATACCAACTAAACACAGGGGAAAAAATCACAGGCTGGAGTAAGGGCAAGTCTGACAATAACGCCATAAGAAAGCAGTAGGGGGAAAACCTTTCTTTCTCTGATACAGAGGACGGATGGACTCAGCCTTTGGCCATGCAGGCTGCAGAACAACCAGCCAGGGTGCGGCCTTCTGCTTCATCTATCATTCATGGGGCTGTATTACTTTTTGGGGGAAAACAGATGAATAAAAATCAATTCCCAAGCAAATGAGAGATTATCTGCAATGTTCTTAAATGTTGCCAAATTAAAATTTTGAATTCTGCTATCACGACTGCTGATGCAGCTATGTTGTGAGCGCTGTGACACTGTTTTCCGAATTCTCCCCACATATCAAGCGAAACTTCCATTTGTTGCGAGCACACACTTCTCATTAACACCCAGATCCAAAGCTAGCCCTGGCTTCACTGAAGAGGACCGGTGGGCCACAGAGTCAGACAGCACCTTATCAAGGTGCGTCTCAAATCACATGGACGAAAGGTACTAAATATAGGAGAGAAAGAGCTCTGGAGCAATTCAACTACAAAACACAAAGCAAAACATCAACAACAAGCTCTGGCGGGCTTTCTTTCATGGCACTTGACCCCTGGCTAGACACTAGATGCTATTTCCAAGAGGTAGGGATAAGTTTACCGTAATTAAACATACATAGTGGGTGTGCACCTCACTGTAGATTAAGAAATGAAGATTAGATCAAATCAGCTGAGAAAGGAAGACGTTGACTTATAATAAGAACCAGAGTCACTACCATCATAATTAAACGATCTCTGGTATGATCTTTATGAAGGTGGCCAAAACAAGATGGGCATCCTGCAGTCTGGGCTTCCTGTCTTCACAGGTGCCGCTAGTTCCTGAACTGTTACCTAGTCCTATACCCTCTCTCCTCACAACCTGCTGTGGAGTCACCACTAATGTCCAAACTGAGGATGACCACAGTGTGCCCACAGCCACAGTCAGCGGGACAGCTTATGGTCACTACTTTCTGATATGCACATGGTTCCATGGGATCTAACGTGGCACTGTCTATACCTCAAAGTAGATGTGGCTTTCAGGTCATATCAGTTAGACTATCTTTATCTAAAGACGCAAAAAAAATCAACTCCTACCAGAACAACAACTGTTGTTAGGTGCTCTTGAGTCAATTCCGACTCATGGTGACCCCGTGTGACAGACTAGAACCGCCCCATAGGGTTTCCTAACCTGTACTCTTTACAGGAGCAGATCACCAGGTCTTTCTCCTGCAGAGCTGCTGGGTGGGTTGGAACTGCCAACCTTTAGGTTAGCAGCCGAGCGCTTAACCTGTTGTGCCACCAGGGCTTCTTAGAAGAAGAACAATACCAGGGTTAAAAAATATAACTTACTTAACTTACGAAATGGAGCTCTATTTGTCAATTCCATCCTACATATATATGGTATAAATGCAGAATTACATGGGTTCTGTTTTTAGCCCTTGTGGCAAAGTTATGGTCACCAGCTTGTCCCAACATTTGATATCATAATATCATGTAATCAGAAAGCCCTTCTCTTCTAGGGTGCTTCTAAGTCTGCAAAAATATACATGTATATCTATATTATTTTAGTCAAAAAGTGATTCATGTTACTAATAAGCTACGTTACTCACGGTCTTCTAGGTTACTGGTTCTTAGATTGGGTGTGCATTTGAATTACCAAAAGAGTTTTTTGAAAAAAATTCCTGATTGCCCCCATTCCTCATCTCTACTCCTTGACCAAGACTGTCATTCAGTAGGTCTGGGGAGGTACCTACAATTTTTTTTTTTTTTTTTAATGCTAATTCTGATGTGCAGCCAGGTTTGAAAAGAGTTGTAATTGCTAAAATAATGTCTCAGCACCACAGGGATAAACTATAGATCACTCGGCTCCACCCTTGGTTTTCGATTCAGGTAGATTTGGGGAAGGGATCTGATAATGTGCATTTCTAACAGGTTTCCGAGAGGGGAGTGATGTCTCTGGTCTGGGGGCCACACCTGGAGAATCACAGAGCCACAGAGCAGAAACAAGAGTGGAGCTAGGCCTCAAGAAAGAAGCTTAAAAAAGGGCAGTTTGCAAGAGGGACGACTGCAGCCCTCTTGGACCGCGGCTGAGCACATTATCTAAAATGGAATCTTAGATGCCGGGATTCCCACCTGAGAACCTCCTCCAGGGCTTTAAGCAAGAGGCTTTTTTTTTCCCTAGCAGAAAGCTGATTTCCATAAACCTCCTGGTACAAGTCCAGGAGAGTTGGGTTGAAGACAACAGGGAGTTTCTGCAAACCAAAGTCTTACTTCCTTGTCCGAGGAGCACGTACACACACATATTTGCAGACTGTGAAAACAAAGCTCAGGAGAAATGAACGTGATACCTGTAGAAAGACCATTTTAGCAGAAATTGCCTGGCGGCTTTGGGGAAACTGGGTCTGCCCTCGTAGGGCTTCAGGGCTTGCATCATCACGTTGTCCAGCCAGGCAGCCCACTGCTCCAGGGTGCTCTGCTGCTGAAGGGTCATCTTGAAGTCTGTTTCTAGTCTCTGGACCATGTTGTCGTCACACTGGCACACCCAGGAAGCCTGCTCCTGGGAAAGTACGCAGAGAGCAAAGGAAAAGTTCAACTCAGCGCCTTGCCATTGAATGGCAGCACACAAACCATGTGCACGGATGGAAAATTATACTGAGAGCCTCAGACAATGAAAGGGATCAAAGACATGACCAACTTCCTGTCAGTTGTTGAGAAAACGAACACTATCTTTATTAATTTTGTTGTTGGCTGTCGAGTCGGCCCCTGACTCGTGGTGACCCCATGCATGAGGGGAGTGAACTATGGTGCTCTGCAGGGTTTTCACTGGCTGATTTTTGGAAGGAGCTCACCAAGCCTTTCCTCCTAGTCTGTCTCAGTACAGAAGCTCCCCTGAAACCTGCTCAGCATGATAGCAACATGCAAGCCTCCACTGACAGTCAGGTGGTGGCTGCGCTTGAGGTGCATCTGAATTCTACCACTGCTTCCCTTATTCATTTTAGTTTAATATTTCCCCTGGCTCATTCTGGTACAGGAAAAACTGATGTGGTATACGAGCATGTCTCGGTTTTACTAAACTAGCTAGTCTGTACTAAAGTACATGATCACTCAAGAACCACGGAAGCCTGAACCTACAGTATGCACTCTTCTTTCATTCCAGTTATTTTTTCATTTTTTATGCTGCCTTTGAAAGTTCTCTCTTTTCTCCCCAATCAGATAAAACGTTAAAGCCAATTCATTTGAGAGGATTTAGGGTAAGTCAGAATGGAGAAATAGATCCAGTTGGCCAAAAGTGGTCCCTGAAGATTAAAATGGAAACAACTCGAGGTACAAGCATATGCTGTACGAGTTTATGGATTTGGGGAGCGGAAATCTCAAGGGCTATCACGGCAAGGCGATGAATGCAAACTCGCTCACAGACTGGAGAACAGCCACTACCAGCCACAACCAAAATACTTCGTGAAAATGTAGACGTGCTACCTGCCAAGAAATTCAATTACTGCAATTTCCCTTCTGGTTCTGGTTGGGGGGTCTCACGCTTGGTAACAGCAATGAAAACAGGAACTTTTAAGACCACTTTTCAGTGGTTGCCATAAGTTTGATGGTGTTTCCAGTATTATGCTGCTTTGTCAGATTAAAAACAAAAACTGTTCTCTCAAGGTCAAGATGTAATTAACTGGTTTTATTACTTGACTGAGAGTCAAAAGACACGGATTTTAATCCAGGTCCTGAAATCAACCAAACTGACCTCAAGCAATGTTTTAATCTCTGTGGGCTTTAGTTTCCCTAAGCATAAGTTTAGAGAAATTATTTTTAACAAGAATTTTTAAGTTGAGGCTCACTGTGTTCTGAGCGTTTTCAAAGACGGGCAGCTTTTGAAAAAATTTGTGGGTGGGCGTCTATGAAGATTCTAATTCTCTATATAAGACACTGTAAACATGGTATGTATTTTTCTGAAAAGAACATCTATAGCTTTCATTCTATATGTTCTCAGAGAACAAGTTTATCCAAATTGACAATTTCGGCTTCCACCCACACAATGAATAAATCCCGAATCTCCATCCCCCGCCCAGCTCCAGCGTCTCTTCTTAGACTTCCCCTATTCAAGGGGCATCTCAACCTGCAGGAACTTCAAGTGGAAAAGGCCCCAATTCATTTCATTTCCCCAGGGAAGCCACCTGCTGTTGTCTCTAATACCCTCAGTTGATGATACCGTCCAGCTGCTTCTCTTTCTTTCATCTAATTAATCATAAAGTCTTTCAGATTTTACCTCCTCGATATTACTTTTAAATATTTTAAGTACAAAAAAAAAAAAAAATCACAAAAAAAAAATGAAAATATGTATCAGCAGAAAGGAAAAAAACAATACCAAGAATACCTACAATGCCAACACTAAGAGACAGTTACAACACGCTGGCACAGATTCGCTTCAAACTTTTCACAAGCAGTAAATGCTTATGCAGATGTGAATATTTAAAATTAAAGGGGGTCCTAGTATCCCTATGGCTAGCCATTTTGCTTCATTGCACTTAACTATAGTAACCATCTTTCTTTGTAGGCAAACGCAGATCTACACTGTTAAATGACTGAATGAATATACCATTATTTATATAACCAACCCCATATAATTAGACGTTTATGGTTGTTCCAATTTTTCACTATCATGAATAATGTCAGGAGTAAGAACCGTGTAAGTAAATCTTTGCTTACTTTTCCACTTCTTTCTGTATGATAGATTTATAAAAAAGGGATAATTAAGACCTTTTATTATATACTGTCCAGTGACTTCCGGAAATTTTTATCAATTTTATATCTGATCAAGAGTTCATGAGAGTACCCAGGGAAGAATAAGATACGAGAGGTGGTTTTTTCTTTTAGATTTTGTTTTGTGTATTGATACGGGAGATGACGAACTTACTGGTCTCTTGGAAGAATTTAATTTAATTTCTTAACATAAATTCAAACTCAGTGTTTACTTGGCAGTTAGTTTTTGCTAAGAGAAAATGATAACCTAAAACCGAACAGCATATTATTTAGGCTTTTCAAATTGATATTCAAAATGATAAGGAGTCAGGAGCTTCGAAATCAGAAGGACTTTTAAAAACAGAAACACAAGTACACATGATAATTAAGTTGTCAGGTCAGTCCACCCAAACCTATTTATTTAGCCCATAATGTAAAAGCAAAACTACTCATTTACAAAAAAGAAAAAATTAGAAAACAATACTATTGTAATGCTACCTACGAAGTAAAACAGAAAACCAATTACACTGCAATAGAAAAGTTATCTGGAATGTTGGTGGCATGAAGAAAAGGACATTTAATGAAAGGAGAATGAAGTGGTGAAAGGAAATTGCTGAATATCCTGAAAGGAACTTCTCGGTACTTTCACACTCTTCAGAGCATATAAAAATATTGACACGTGTAATTTCATTTTTTTTAATTAAAGTTTCCTTATTGCAAGCATAGCACCTGCATACTGGTAAGTCGTACTGAGGTTACTCCTGCAGGGGCAGGGTTAAGTGCCAAATGAAATGAAGAACAGGAAAGGGTGATAAAGGCGGAATGAGAGGCAGAGGGCTCTGAGAAAACCAGACAAAGCTTGGAACAGAAAGAGAGCTTTAAAGATGAAATATGCAACCTCAGGAAAGAGATTACTCATTAAAATGAGCAGAGTGGGTGAGAAAAAATGTAGGGGACGTGAAGGGCCAGCACTGTCCTCATGGTCCTCTGAGGAAAGAAAAGCGGTTCTGGAGGAGAAATATTTCATAACCAGACAGTTTTCAGCACTGATAATGGTCAGGGTGGTGGATAGCTGAGAGGAAATTAGCTGCCATCAAGCCGATTCTGACTCATGGCAACCCCATGTGTGTCAGAGGAGAAACGCGCTCCGTAGGGTTTTCAGTGCCTGATTTTTTGGAAGTAGATCAGCACGTCTTTCTTTCAAGGCACCTCTGGGTGGACTCGAATCGCCAAGCTGCAGGTTAGCAGTCGAGTGCTTAACCGTTTGCACTACTCAGGGTAGAGGGAAAGGGTAGCCTCAGAGCTGGTGGGTGGACGATGTAGCAGAGTGGGCACAGAGTTGACCATTTGCATGTGAAGATGCTCTCGAGGCTGCTATTTATAACGGAGAAGACCTCATGTGTGTAAGCACTCCATAGGACTGCAGACACATAGACACAGATGAAAATAATGTTACCAGAACACTGAAAACCTCTCTCTGATATTATCAGAACTCATTCTTAAAATTATCTTCTGTTACTGAGCTTAAATTACTTTTTGAAATTTGAAGCTGCCTTAATAATTTAACTTTTCTTAAGGTACTTTTTAAACCTATCTTTAGGATGAAGCTTTGATATAAACATTACAGCACAGATTTCAAGGCAATATCTTTAATATTCCCACTAAAATTGCAGTTGCTGCAAATTCCACTGGAAAATGTAAAGTCAATGGCTTTGTAAAGCTGAGAGTTTATTCTGTAAAAGTTATGTTTGTATGTATGCATGTACATGTGTTCGCAGATAGATAGAAAACTTTATCAGAAGTTTGAGTGCAATCTGTGAAGATCACAATGATCTTCACTAACTTACTAATTCACCCTCAACAAGATGGACTGACAAGTGGGTACAACAATGGGCTCAAACAGCAGTGATTGTGAGGATAGTGCGGGACCAAGCAGTGTTTCGCTCTGTGGTACACAGGGTCACTGTGAGTTGGAACAGACTCGACAGGACCTAACAACCATTTACTGTATCCTAAAATGGCTGTAACCCTGAATATTACTTTTTTATATATTTTAAATTATAAAACGAGACCAGAACTGGAAATTATAATTTCTGGGAGACAGAGGAATTAATTATTAATTTATTGTAAAGTATTGCTATTTATTTTTTAATAACAACTATGTTGAGATATAATTAACATACCATACAATTCGCCCATTTTAGTATATTCCCAGAGCTGTGCATGCATAACTACAATCAATTTTAGAATATTTTCATTAACCCAAAAGGAAACTTCCCATTCCCTGATCCTTCCGACTCTTCCAGGCCTAAGAACCACTTTTCTGTCTCCATAGGTTGACCTGTTCTGGACATTTCATATAAATGAAACCGTACAATACGTGGTCCTTTGGGACCGGCTCCCTTTGCTTAGTGTAATGTTTTCAAGCTTCATCCATGTTGTAGCAGGCATCAAAATAGCCAGAAATATTGTATCTCATTCTTTTCAAATGAACAAATATTTATTAGGTACTTACAGTAAACTCTGAAATAGAGTTTTTCTTAGTTCATTCAAGGTGATGCACTAGTAATAATAGAAATAGCTATCATTTATCACAAAGGGCTTTACATATTACTAAATACATAAGCCAAAATCTAAGACAGGAGTCACAAGGTGGGGAAGTGAAGCCCAGAGCAGTGAAATAACTTGCACAAGAGCCCGCAGCTAGTAGGGGGAAGAGCTGAATCTCTCACCTGCTTAATTTCAATGACTGGGATCTTCATTACTCCATTAACTGTACTTCAAACCCTAGTGATCTATATGTTGCTATCAGACTATGAATCTTTGCAGATTTTAATTACAAAATCAAAAACCATAAAACCAAACCTGTTGCCGTCGAGTCGATTCCAACTCATAGTGACCCTACAGGACAGAGTAGAACTGCCCCACAGGATTTCTGAGGAAAGGCTGGTGGATTCGAACTGCCGACTTTTGGTTAGCGGCCAAGCTCTTAACCACTATGCCACCAGGGCTCCCAAACAGAACAGGGGTACGTTAAAGCTGTATCTGAGTAAAGCTCCTCTTTCAGGACATTGTGAGTATCAGTGCTGGCTGTATATAGATAAGAAACTTGGAAAAGAAATTCGAGAACAAACTGGGTACCTGTTATACACTGAGTTGTGCTCTGCCCCCTCACAAAATATGCTTTGGAATCCTCACCTCTATACCTGTGGATGTGATCCCATTTGGAAATAGAATTATTCATTGTTATGTTAATGAGGCCATATCAGTATAGGGTGTGTCTTAAGCCAATCACTTTTGAGAATAAAAGAGAAGCCCTGAAGCACAGATGGGGAAAGATAGATGCCACGCCACAGAAGTTGGAAAGAGACAAGGACCTTACCCCAGAGCCAAGAGACAGAGAAAGCCTTCCGCTAGAGTTGGTGCCCTGAATTTGGACTTCTAGCCTCCTCAACCGTGAGAAAATAAATTTCTGTTCATTACGGCCACCCACCTGTGGTATTTCTGTTACAGCGGCACTAAGAAACTAAGACCGTACCTTTTTTTAAAAGACGTGTTTTGAAAGAGAACAGGTTACCTGGACATTGGCAAAGTCGACCCGGTTGAGGTCATTGAGCATCTGGTTGATCTGAGACGTGTTCTGGAGCACGGCGCGGGCTGCCTGGGCCAGGTGATTGAGTGACGTGTATCTTCGCAGAGTCTGGGCAAAGGCACTTACAGCGGCAACCTGCGAAGAAGCCCAATGACATGGGGGTGTTCTTCCCTCCGGGGAAATAAACCTCTGCAATCTCAAATCTTATTTTCCCTTGCCAAATTTTACAAGCTTCCCTCTGACACTTACTTCAAATTCATTTGGTGAGAGAGCTTACTTGTAAATTATAGCATTTAAATCTCTAAACCACGTATTATTTTCCTTTTGAGTAGGCTGAGGTCAAGACTAAAACAAACACCCACATTCTTTGACATCCGAGTGCAGCATTAATTGAACCAGTCTTGCAAGTAGCACTCATCCAAAGCAAGAAACGACTTTACTTAAGGAAGCAGGAAAAATGTTGGTTTTCATTCCTTTTTTACTTTGTATGAAAGTCAGCTAAAAACTGGATGAAAAAATTTTCTTTTTACTTGGAAGGTCTAACTGTACAGTTCCTGTTTTTTAAATTGGATTGAAAACTGACTTTGCAGGGCACTGTCATTCAGGTTCACTCTTACTATCTCTACTTTGTAGGAACAGGTAATTCTGAGGTGAAACAAGAGTTCATAGCCTTTATTAGCAAATACTAATAAACCTATCAGAGACAAGCAACTTGAAGAGCTTTTTCGGAATTTGAATTCCTACAAAAGGGCAATCTAGGAAGTCTCCATTGGCCCCTCAAGATCTACTTTCCATCCTTCTCCACCCTGGTCTGTGCCCAGAAAGGTGGACTTGAACTTGAACGTTGGCATGAATCGCCTCCATTGCCCCTGGTGGTCAACTGGGTTTGGCCAATGAAAGGCCCCAGGAGGAGAAAGGAGGATGGGAAGACAGAGTGGTCAGAGATTCACTCCTCCACAACCTCTGCTCCCTCCTGGTTGCGGCAGCATCTCCTTCTCTGCCTCAGGCCACAATCTAGGGGAAGAAGTGGGTCTCCTACAGCCAGGTGCTTAGGACTTCCCACTATTCCTAGTCCTGGGGTGCTTCACTATCCCTCCTTGGTTTTAACTCTGTTCACAGCTTGGAAAATAGGCCCTTCTTAAACTCCCTTCAATGATCCCCTTTTGAATGTACCATTTGTTTCCTGATGGGACCCTGAATGAACCAGGTTATGTTGAAAGATGGTAAAGATAATGGAGAAGAAGAAGAAGAAAATAAAAAATCTAGGTAAATATCTAAATCTGATGTCCCAGAAACTTGTTACATGCACAGTAGTGCTAATGAGCATTTTAACATGTTCACAAGAATGTACGGTATTGCACTTAGTTGCTGCAAGTATTTAAGAAGCAAGTGATTGAACGAAACAATATTTGAGCTTAACTAGCAAAGAATGTCTGACTTGAGCATTCTGCTCTTTTAAGAACTATCTATATGGATCAAATTGACCACAGCAACTTGAAAGATTAGATAGGAAACTTAGGGGACAGTGAGTTTATGTCACTGGGGGAGGAATAACTTGAAAAAAAGGAGGCTGAGAATGGTTGCACAACTTGAAGAATGTAATCAACGTCACCGAATTGTACATGTAGAAATTGGTTAATCAGTGTATGTTCTGCTATATATTCTCAACAACAACAATAAAAATGAAGCAAGTGATTGACTAGCCAGTTGGCTGAGTAGCAGAGGGGGTGCGTGGGGCAAAGGATACTCTATCTTGATGGCGAGATGCTTTAGGACTATGTGGAAGCTGAGGGAAAGCTCATGTACCCTCACTGAAGAAGTGCCTTGCACTTTTTTCCACTTTGTGGTTTATATTAATTGAGCACATACTATGTGCCAGGCAGTGTTAACTGCCTTACATATATTATCTTGTTCAAGTCCATCAACAATCCTACTAGACACATACTGTGATTTAATGAGGTTAAGTAGCTTGCTCAACGTTACATAAAAACTACTTGGCAGTGGTGGGACTTGAACGCAGACATTCTGATTCCAAGGGCCACAGTTTCAACCTAGTTATGCTGCTTCCTCTGGCAGGGTAGGTTGCCTTCTCTGGTTGAGTGCTCAACTGACGGAAGGCTGCACATCAATGAGAGAGGAGGAGCAGAGGGCACCCTCCACCAAGGGAAATCATCCAAACCAACTTTGGAGATGAGTACGAGGGCTAAGGCTGCCGCTGGACCACATCCACTTTGATAAAACTGGACAGGCAAGTGCTTCCAGCTATTAGAAGTACTGTTATGACGTAAGCTGGAAAGGCTTCCTCCGACTGTCACAATCAATTAGCACCTCCTTCGTCTGCCCACATCAATGTGGCACTCTAGAACTGTGCATCCAAACAGAACTTTCTGTGATGATGGAAATGTTCTATGTATATGCTGCCCCACGTGGGAGCCACTAGCCACACGGGGTTATTGAGTACTTGAAATGTAGCTAGTGAGACTGAGGAACTAAAATTTAAATTTAATTTTAAGTTCAAATTTACAAAGTCATATGTTACTAGTGTGCCGTACAGACCAGCACAGCTCTAGAGCAACAGTCTAAGGTGGGCATATTAACGGAATGCTCCCTTCTTACACACTAGAGACAGCAAGTTTTACTGCAAACTTTGAGCCAAAAGCAGGAAGAAGCGGGGGCTGCCTGTGTTCCCACAGAGACTTGTCAGCGACAAGAGCTCCAGTCTACCAGTTTGCCCCCAAATTGAAAACCAAGGTATACTGCTGGAGTCTAAGAGCAGACAGAATCACTAACAAAAAGCCAGAAATGTGATTTTTGGCACCAAAATTCAGACAGAACGAGTCCAATCTTGCCATGAAAATATGTTCACAGATTAATCTAAAGTAACATGGCTAGTAGGAGACAAAGTGAAGATTAGAATTTTCTCACTAAACAATTTGTACTCTTTATATACACCAATCAATTATGAGATGATTGTTCACTTTTAAGAAATGATGAGTTGATTCACAAAAGCATTCTTGTGTTAAAAAATACAAAACATCTTGAAAAGTAAAAGAACTGTAAATTACATGAACTTTTCAGAACACAAAGAGTAGAGTCGGGGTTAAAAAAATATCTAAAACTCTTCCAACGGTAACTATTCAAACATTCTAGGCTATTCTTGGCAATCTGAAATATATATTTTAGAAACAGTCTTGCAGATACACCACGCTTAAAATGCTTCTCTAGTCTGCCTGAAAGGAGCATTATCAAACACCTCTAGTGAAAGTTATCTATTGCAAGGATATTAACAACAACGACAAATATATATAAATGTATATATATACACATAAAATCAGTTTTAAAAGATTCTGTATATTATAATACCAACATTTTACAGAGAAGATATAAAGTTCACAATTCAGCACAATCTGCTAAACGCAAAAGGAAAGGCAAAGGCATGAGATGGTACCTTGGTTTGTATCATTCTTTGCGGAATATTGTTCATGGCATTGGAAAGCCAACCTTCAAGGCTTTTTGCAAAATTTCGAATGGCTTGGGTCAAGGCACCTAAGTGTTAAAGAATAAAAGCGGAATGAAAAAGATACCAAAGAACATTAATCTTTATGCTAGAATAAGGGAAAACATGTACACCATGTCAGAAATAGCATAGAACTTTCATTGTCCTGATTGATGAGACTTTATTTAACATTATTCCTAATTTTGAAGGCATACAAGAGTTATATATTGGGCTTTTTTTTTGAAGCTATTTTATTTCCAGATACGTATTTCACATTGTTGGGAAATGAAAACATTATAGCAACATATACCAGTTGTGAATATACTTATAAACTGCTTACAGAATTTTCTATCTTAGATAAAACACTCTTTTCATTAACTGTTTTGTGCTTAAAGACTAAGTATTTTCTTTGAAAATTCTTCATCTTGACTGTTTCAGGGTCCTAACCTATTTTCTTTATTTAAACCGAAAAGTAATGCAAAGCTTTCTCTCTTTCTCTATGCATCTATTTACAGTAGAACATATGAACTGGAGTAGTTACCCACAAAAAAAAATCCAAAATATCTCTCACTCTTGTTGAAAAGCAAGGTAAAAATAAAAATAGTCTGACTTGAAAATTCTGGATAACTATTCTCCATTTCATTTGGCAGGTGTCAATAAAAGATCAGTCTGATAAAATTGCTATCACAGAGAACACTAGTCTTAAAATATTCCTAACAGAGAACAACATTCTTAGAACAATCCGTTCCATAGTCTTCACATATCTGCTAAAACCTGAAATAGGGATAAGGTCCATGAGAGCAGAGTTTTATGGAGGTCTTAAGATGATGAGAAATACCTTCAGTTCTCAGGGATGACTAAGACTATTACAAGAAGGGACCTGCTTACTGAGGTTGCCTTATCGTAGAAAATTCTTCTCTAGCTCAACAAGCACTTCAATCAAGATGATTTTACTTCTCACGTGCTGTACGCTCCACAGTGTAGGGAGCAGTTTTGGGCATTTAATAACTAAGTGTCTGAAGCACTCATAGCATAAAATTAACCTATGTGGGTAGTATTAGGAGCCCTGGTGGCGCAGTGGTGAAAGCGTTTGGCTGCTAACCAAAAAGGTCGGTGGTTTGAACCCACCAGCCGCTCCATGGGAGAAAGACGTGGCAGTCCGCTTCTGTAAAGATCTGCAGCCTTGGAAACCCTATGGGGTGGTTCTACTCCCTCCTAAAGGGTTGCTATGAGTCAAAATCGACTCGACAGCAGTGGGTTTGGTTTTTTGGTTTGGGTAGTGTTAGAAGCTGTAGTCTACCAGAAGATAAACAGAGAAGTTATGTTATTGTCTAAGGTCCCCAAGGATATTAATGTTAATGACAGGATTAAATTCCTTGGTTTTCCTTCTGTGCTCAATCAGTCTGACATGCTTTTCCAACTATTTTGTTAAAGTTGGGTTGGAAATAATTTAACTTATTCAAGTTATTTCCAAAATAAATAAATTTTACTAGTCTAATAATTTTTTTTAAATGTTTTTTTCTTTTTTTTTAAAGATGTATTTAAGTGGTCAAATGAGAGAAGAGATTGAAATGGTCTGAATTTTTATTAGGAAAAACACTCAAGCGCATACTCTTTAGCAATGAGAATCATCTATTGGAAATTTCTTGAGAAGGATACTTCTTTTGAAATTTCCAAAGCTTCCCACTTTAGCCAAAAAAGAAAAAAGAAAGAAAAATACTTTTTCTGTGTATTATGTATTAGAACCATGGAGGGCAGGCATGGATGGAAATGAAAAAGAGTGAAAAAAAATTAACAACCCTTTTTGAAATGCAGTAAAATTTTGTTCAAGATCCAATCTGGCTATCTGCATTTTCCATTTTTTCCCATAATTCATATATAATAATTATTTAATCTGAAAAAACTCAAGAACCAATAAATGTGACTTAAAAAAATAATACTTAATCTGGGTTTTGTTTTATCCTGATAAATTTGATGCTAAGGAGATTATAAAATAAAAAGATAGTTTTTTATATTAAATATTTTTACTTTTTTGTACTGAATGTCATTCTGGGCCACCTTTAATTACACTCGTAATTATATATTCAAGTGTTACCAGTTGAGTCTTATACAATTCTTTACACTTAACATTTTCTAAAATTTTCAGATAAGTGTATTTTTGAATATAGTAGTTTCAATCTGACTTTAAATTAGTGTGATGTGCAGACTTTTTGGGGGCTAAAAAAAGGAATCCCATCTGGACAGAAGATGGTAGAGTAAAATACTAGTAGCCAGGAAAATAAATTCTTTTTAAACAAAATTCAGTTTGCTCTTTCTATAGGGATTCATGTAAGATCAAAATTGTGGAGACTGACTGACACCCTGAATGAGTGGTCTGCAATTTAAAATCTCTTCCAAAGCTGACTTGTCTCAACCTGCTTAGGGTTAATATTAAAATGCTCATCATCAGGACATAGCTGCTATCTTCTAAAATGGTTTTCCGATTTGATTTTGTTAAGCCTCATTATACAATGGGAATAAAATTAACAAATGTCCCTGGCAGGGTGGCACATGAATTAATTAAGGCATCTCGTCATTTCAGAGAAACTATAAAACTACACTTGTGTGAAAATCCCTGAAGGTGAGCTGTCTAACGAAGTGACAGACAAACTACTTCACAGAACACACCGGTTTCGAACTAAAAATTTGCAAAAGGCAAATTTCAAGTGTTTTGGGTACCTAAAATGATGGGACTTAAATTGCCTAAAATTGAGACATGATTTAAGATAGGGAACTGATCAGTTCACAGGTTAAAGTCTTGTGATGCTAACACAGAAGAAGCACGAGAGTTTACAACTGTTTAATGAACATCGATGTGGTTGATTTGCCTCAAAAATGAAAGTGCTCACTGCAGCTTTTCTCGTGTCTCATGAGAGAAACTGTACGTTGGCGGCAAGATATCATAGGCTAATGAGCTACCCTACGCAACTTCTCGTCACCCTCTCTAGAGATTATCACTCAGTGCACGGGGAGCAAGAGAGAAAAACATGGAAAATCAGATTCTGGAACATAAATCAGTAGAGAATTTACACACTGACATTTTCCATGACATCACCACTTTTCATCAGCCTTTAGTGAGGTAACTTGGAGCACATAGAGTGGAAAATGGCAGCTGGATTGTTCTTTAATCTGTTTCTATACAAATTTATGTGTATGTTAATTGATATGATATGTAAATATGTGTCTAAAGATACATTTTAAAGTTTTGGGGAACATAAGAACGAACTCATACTTTCTACCGCTGTCATTTATATTTAGACAAAAGAAAGTATCAACATATACATGGACATATATCTTCACCTTTTCCTGTACCAAGTATCTAAATATTTTCTGGAATAATTTAACCCTAGTCATCTGCGAATAGTGTGCTTGCAGGACATGGTTGCTAATTGCACAAGCTAAGGGATTCCTTTCACTTTATTAGTGCTGCTGAGGAGGGGAAACTCCATCCTATTTCTTCAAAAGTGAAGGTCAGTACAATGTGTTCAGAAAGATGTAGGCGTAAAATTGTTTTAACTTTCTCTAACACTGGAATCCTTAACAGCATTTATACTGATACTTGCAAGGTAGTTTAAAAAGCACTATCATTTTAAAAAGTAATCTAACTCATCTACGTAATTCCTATCTGCTTCCTGGTGGCAATACAATGCTTGTGTAGTTACAGAGATTTTTCTCTCAAAATGCCAGTTAACCATCACTGTTAATGGAAGCTGCGTTTATAGTTTAACATGATGTAGGTGACAAAGTAAATGCTTTTATAAGGGAACTTAACTGCACTGGAAACCAAGATCAATTCATTTCCAAGCCAAAGCAACCATAAAAGAGGCTGGCCTCACGATTATAGATTTTTCAATCATTTTTTGGCTTTAAGAAGGGGACTGTGTCCCAGGTAGCATCGATTTAACGTGGTGGACTGGCCTGGGAGTGATCAGGCCATCGCATCCAAAGGTCAGCTTTCTTATCAAAAAGAAAAGACTGGAAAACAGATCCAATTTTCCCCCTTTTTCTAGAGTGTTGCTCTAGGCTGCTTTTTTTTTTTTTTTTTTTGCGATACTCTGGGTTGCATGTTTTCGCTTCGGCAAATCTAAATGAGATGAGAGTCACTCTAGATTGCAAAGTCACTTCCCCAACCTTCCTGGGTGGAACGTACGAGAAGAAAAGCATCCGCACTCGTCTGCATTTAACTTACTAGGAATGGGTCTAAGGACGTCGGGGATGAGAATCTCCACCAGAGCCTGGTACATCCCATGGTCACAGTTACACATCCATTTCAGGATAGACTCATGTTTGCACAGAGTTATCAGCTTTGCTTTCGGAAGTCGACTTTCTATTTCACTCAGATTGCTGGGGTGAATAAATGTAGCAAATGAATAGATGGCAAATGAGGATAAAAAAGAAAATGGACTTTAAAAAGAGTTTTAGTTTATCAAATATTACTGAGGTTAGAACTATACCACCACTGTGCTGGCGCCATGCGGCTGGCTATATATAAGTATATATACAACACTCCCCCAGAGCGGCCTGTGCATGTTAATATCTCTGACGGTATAAAGGGCAGATATGACAGTCATTCCATGAGGATGAAACAGCTCTACCACGCTCCCCCAAATCAATAAAGATGGGAGCTATATACACGCGCTGAAACCTCGAGAGAGCAGTTTGTGGTTCATTTCTCGGATGGCCAAAGCATCAGTCTACTCATTTAATGTTATCAGGTAAGGTTCACAACTGGTATACATATCTCTAATTTAATCACAGTGACATCCACTCAGCCATGAAGATGGATCGGGAAAGCACATGGATTCTGACCTCGACTCAGTCATGGTAGTGCCGTCTGCTGGGGTCGAGGGAGAATAGCGCCAGAATGTTTGCCACAATTTTTCTATCAGGCTAAACTGAAGATTCACAACAACGTCCAGTATTGCCTGGAAAACAAAAGAGTAAATTGCTATGACTTTACCATTTGACTTATGGGGCTGTGTGGAGAGAGCACAACATGACAGGGTTTCAGATAGCAAAGATCTCCTTTGGGCTCATAATGTAAAATCATGTTGAAAGTGAGCTGAATTTTGCCAGCAGAAGCTAAGAAAACAAAGATATTTGCTGGGGGGGACAAAAAAGGGGAAAGAAAAAGAACTCTTGAAAGATTAACACATGTTCTTCCCATAATAACCTCACTTCCCACCCTTACTTTTACCTCTCTTTTCCCCCCAATTCCGAGCTTGCTTCCCTTTCTTTCCATTTTCTTCTCTTACTTTTCTCTTGTTCCTTTACCCATTGCAACCTTCGGCTTCTGTGGTTGCTGTCACCCCCCGTTTCTCGGAGCCGGCAGGGTGCAGAGCACAGATGCACCCACACCAGCCCCCCTCCCGCCCATCAACCAGGACACCAGTGAAGGCTGTGGAGGTGCCTGTGTGGCAGCTGCAGTGAGAGCTGCCTTTCGGCTTTGGCTAAGGTGGCTTCTCCCAGGCTCCAGGATGTCCCCAGGAGTGGGACTGGCCCTCGGAGGAAGTGCTGCTCTGAGCAGGGAAAAGGACAGCAAGCAGCTCTCCTTGGTTGCACAATGCATTTTACCCAACCTCCACAAACCGCCCCCATCTCTGCACGTTCCCTTGGGGAGGTACTTCTTAACCTTGGGGCCTCACCTCCTCTTCCTCCTGAACTTTTCTCTCTCAGAATCATACTCAAGGAGCTCTGGTGGTGCAGTGGTTAAGGGTTTGGCTGCTAACCGAAAGGTCGGTGGTGTGAACCCATTAGCCACTCTGCAGGATAAAGATGTGGCAGTCTGCTTCCTTAAAGATTTATAGCCTTGGAAACCCTACAGGACAGTTGTACTGTGTCCTGTAAGGTCACTATGAGTTAGAATCGACTGGACAGCAACGGATTTTGGTTTTGTAACTTGAATTGCTTATAGGATGTTTAGTTCCAAGAAGAGTAGAGCGTCATGAATGAGTTTGCGCCACCAAATCTACCAGCATGAAACCCTATGGGACAGTTCTACTGTGTCCTATAGGGTCTCTATGAGTCAGCATCTACTTGACGGCAGTGGGGGTAAGAACAATTTTCTAGCTGCAGCAAGGGCATTTATTATTATTTTTTTGATGATGCTAAAGTCTGCCACTTTCCCCATTAATTTTTGATGATCATACTTAATTTCACCGTGCCATCCCGATTAGTTTCCAAACGAGCCTCAGGATGAAAGCAGGCGTAAACCAGAGAATAACTTGTTTGTGCAAAGAACATGTGATTCTCTGATTAATTTTGAGCATAAAAGACAGAACTAGTCAGTACACTGTGTCTGATGTTGTCAGCACTGAGGACGGGGACAGGTACAGGGGCCTGGTCAAGATCACACAATTTGCGGAAAGGTGAGAGAGAACAGTGAGCAAGCTGGAGAGCCACGGGGAGGAATTTAGGCAAAGGGTGTAAAGGGAGCAGTCCAGAACGTCACGACTCCAGAGTCTCACTGTGTGGGCCTGGCCCTGTGCGGGCTAGAGGATGACTGATGCTCTGTACAGAAACACGCCGGGACCATGTCAAATACTAAACTCTGCTTGGGACGCTCTCTGAGAACTAGTAGCAAATGCTGCCCATAGTGAGTGGGGACCATGGAGAGAAACGAGTAATTAACACACTCCTCAGTCTTTAATATCAGCCACAATAAAAATGAAAAGTACAAGCCCTGAAAATAAAGGGCTCATAGACGTCCTTTATTCCAGGCAAAAACCCCAAACCTTCTCATTGGGCAAATCATTATAGCTGCTTTCTCAGTTGTAGCTAAGGCATATCCCCAGAGATGTCTCTAAAAGTGTGACCAAACTCCATTGCCATCGAGTCATTTCCGACTTATAGCGACCCTACAGGACAGAGTAGAACTGCCCCATGGAGTTTCCAAGGAGTGGCTGGTGGATTCAAACTGCCGACCTTTTGGTTAGCAGTCAAGCTCTTACCCACCGCACCACTAGGGCTTCCTAAAAGTGTAAAGCAACTAGTAATACCTTACTAAGGACCTCTGTGTATGAGACAGCTATTAGAGCAGTACGCATTATGTTAAAAGAAAAAATTACAGTCCCAGCAACTTGTTCTATAACAGAACACAGCTAGTAATACTTACCAAGTATCTTTTAAAAAATTGTAAAAATTCCAAGTAATAGCCAAAGCAGGTATATTAATCTTTCTTAAAAAAACCACACAGATAGGAGGTAATGTAAATAAAATAATGCAAGTCAAGGATTTCAGTGCATCTTTAATTCAGCACCATTCAAATCAAATAACTGCAAATAACTTCTGAAAAGGACATTCACATCAGCCTCGTTTGAGACAGTTTTACAAATGAATAAAACATTTTATCATTTGTCCACCCACTTTCAAATATGTTCAGACCAGAATATATGAACAAACATAAATTAACTAATCCGTATTCTGCAGCCTTAGTGCAAATGGCTATTTACAAGACTAGCTATGAGACTCAGGTACCTGCACTTTGAAAGTTTGGAAGTTTGACAAGAAAAAGTAATTAGAATTCTGCTTTATATATGCCACTGGGCCCTACCAGAGATGACATGAACACTAGTAACTCTGAAATAAGTGGGGATGTATACCATGTCGCACAAAAATTACTACATATGTCCATATCTCTTCATATATAGAGTATATTTATTCCTGAAAATCTGTTACGTTAATGAAAATTTTGTAATCCAAAAAATATTATAACCTTATTGGAGGAGTCTGTCACTTAGAATAACCTCATGGTACTTTCTTTGCCAAAGTAAGCAGTCATGCTCCCAATTACACGTGTGTGGCCTACTTTGCTGCAGGTCAGGTCCACCTTAATATAAAGAAAAGAGAAACTGCTTAGGACATCTGAACACACCTTTATTGCGTATGATGGCAGGTGTAGAAAGAAAGAAATTTTTTCTGAATATGTGAGGGCCACCCAGACACTCTTCAATATTGGGAAGAGCACAGAGAAATGAGTATTAAGTGGCTTTCACCATTCCCCAAAAAACTGAGAACCAACTAGCAGGACACGTTGAGGAACGTTTAGCACATGCAGTGTTAAGGAGGGAACTCGCCCTTGACTGTCAGTAACCTAGCACCCTTGACACGCACTCAGATTCACTCAAGCAGCTCTCAGCCCTGGAGTGGGATGTAATCTGTGAACGCTGAGACGGCTCGCTGCACGAGGCGCTGTCAGCAGACAGGAGGGCTGTCCGTGAAATCCAAAGGATTATCTTTTACTCTAAAGTAGATCACACAGGCCCCAGAATAAAGCTGTTGAAGTTCTAAACAGAATCCTCCTTTGAAAGGAGAGGCACTCCAGAAAACTCTTATTGCAGCTCATTACCCCTTCCTACCAGGTGAGCAAGGAGCCCTGGTGGTGCAACAGTTAAGTGCTCGGCTGTTAACGGGAAGGTGGGTGGTTCGAACCCACCCAGCGGCTCTGTAGGAGAAAGACCTGGTGATCTGCTTCTGTAAGGATTACAGCCAAGAATACCCTATGGGGCGGTTCTACTCTGTTACATGGGATCACTAGGAGTCAGAATCGACTCTTCACAGCACCCAACAACAATAACCAGGTGAGCTGCAGGTGCCTTCGCATGGTGGAGTGGAGCGCACACCTCCTGGAGACAAGTCAGCCAGTTCTGATGTGGGATACACGGGAGGGGAGTAAACGGATGATGGAAGACACCTAGAGAAACCTTGCTGTTGTTGTTGTGTGCTGTCTGGTCGATCCTGACTCGTAGTGACCCTGGACGGCGGAGCAGAACTGCCCCGTGGAGGTGATCCCAACTCAAAGTAACCCCAGGGGACAGAGTAGAACTGCCCCATAGGGTTTCCTAGGCTGTCATCTTTACGGGAGCAAATTGCTGGGACTTTTCTCCTGGGTGGGTTCAAACTGTAGACCTTTTGGTTAGTAGCCGAGCGCTTAACCACCGTGCGACCACCAGGGCTCCACAGAAACCTTAATTAGTCACAAACACAAACCAAAATAAACAAAACTAGAGGCTCAGTGAAACCTGGGAAGAACATCTAAAGTGCTTTATTAAACACTTCTAGAAACCCTTTTTTAATAGAACTACGTGCTTACTGTATAACAGGCAAAAGGTAAAAAGATGATACAAAAACCATCTCTCTCTCCCCTGACTCCCAGTCACCCAGTTTCCTACACAAAGACAACCACTGTTAACATTTTCTTGTTCTTCGTACTTCACTCAAATGATAGGATGCTATCGATACACACTGTTTCGCATCTTGCTTTTTTCTCTTAACATTAAATCCTGGAGATTGTTCCGTATTAGTACATCTAGAGTTGCCTGTTCTTGTTAATGGCTGCATAGTATTCTGCTCTAAAAAATGTACCAGAATTTATTTATCCAGTTCCCTATTAGATATTGAAGTTGTAACCAATCTCTCATTAAAAACTATAATGTAACAAACTCCCCGTACACCTGTCTCTTCACCCATACGTAACCATGTCTGTAGGATAAATATCCACACGTGGAATTGCTGAATCAACGGATTCAGATCAGGATAGGCTAAGAAGATGGAGAGAAAAATGGATTCTCTATTTCCTGCATTTCTCACCTCTCAACACTGAGACAAGAAAGAAGGAAAATTGATTTATTAGTGCTCAAAGAAATGAGAACTGCTTCATCTGCCCTCTAAGAATCAGCTTCGTTATCGTGTTTTAGCAAGTTGTCTGGCAAAACTTAGCGTGCGTGCGTGCAACGTTTGAAAAGACCTACCTCACAGTGCTCTCGATAAAGACTCTGCAGTGACTTGATATCCTCAAAGGTAGTACCATCTGGCAGAGAAGAGATCTCAACTTCTCCAAACTCTGGGAGCGCTCGAGATGCATCTGTTACCATGACAACACAACAGAAAAAAGCGACTGTGGATGGTGCCAATTATAGATTAATGAGGGAAAATTTAAGAAGACTAAAAAGGAAGAAGAAAATTACAGGTCAGCGGTCCAGAGAGCAAAGGCTTTTCATATTAGTATTTTACGAGCAAAACTCAGCAGCAGCAGCAGCAGCAGCAGAACAAAGGATTAACTCTAACTAGATCGACAACTTGTGGAGGTTGTTCCAGTAGAGAGAAAGCTCCTAGAAATTCTGCGGAAACTAAACTGTCACTACAAGTATCCTGGGAATAGCATATCAGTGTCTCTCAAGGTAGGGCTCCCAGTAAAAGAAAAATATCTCGAGCTTGCTGGTATCAAGCTTTAGTGGCATTATTATGTTACTTACGAATGTAAGAAAATACATAAACCTAGCTTTAAACTCACTGTGATCCTACCTCTATTATAATCATAAACCAAAAGAGCTACAAATAAATACAAAGAAAACTACAAAAATAACATTAAACTTAACAACGTTCATTTGCTGTGATGGATTATGCTGTTGTCTTGTAAGTAGATTAGCTCCTGCGACATGAACATGGTATTGGCTGCTGCGACACAGAATCTTTGGGGTTTGAAAAGCCGATACCAACAGGCACTGCCTGGTGGCTGGTTCTCCCAAGACTCTTCCTATTCTCAGACACAGAGAACCGGGACATCACGTAGCCTTCCCTCGGGACGGAGGCGAAGTTTACATAGTAAGTCTCTCTCTGTTCTTTTCTTGTTCGCTCTGGACATTAATGTGATACACTCTGGTGCCTGCTTGATCATAAATTCACATGGTGGCTAAAGTTGCAGAGCAGTATTCAGTTCTAGTCTTCTGGGTGATACAGAATATGCTTTTGTCTTTTTAAGACTATAATCGAAATAAAAACTCGCAATAAAAAAAAATCAAAATTCTGGCTGAGAGCTCAAAGGTCCCAGAGGACACGCCTGAGGACCTGAGCTGGGGAAGCACCGCCATGGCGTTTTCAACTTCAGTGGCTATTGCTGGCTGAGAGTCCATTTCAGTTGTCTTTGTCAGAAGGGGCACATAGACGCACACACACACACAGACACACACACACACGCGCTCTCTGATAGCTTCGTCTGATCTTCATCGGTTGCACAGCAATTATGCATGCTCGTCTCTAGAAGAGTTGTCAGTTAAAGCGCCATTCTGGCACCTTTGGCTGTGACAGGAATATGCGGAATGTGCAAGCTCCACTTCCTGACTCTTTCAATAACAAGGAACACGTATACCATCTACAAAATTACACAAATCGGAAGCACTGTGATCGAGTTAAAAGAGTAAATTACATTTGAAAAGTTTATCATCACTTTTTTCCTGATCTGAGGCTGTATGCATATGCAACATCATACACAGAAAATAAGAATTCTTTTTGGCACCTGAAGTTACTACTGAAAGTAAACATGGTACAGTTTTGATCACAGAAGCCCAATTAACGCACATTCTGGAAAATAATTTTATAGCAATGAGCACTACTATGTATTTAATGCATATGCACTTAAAAGTCCTAAATAGCTCGAGATTAATAAAAAAAGCTCTAGTTAACACGAGAAAGTAGACATGAACTAGGACTATCCTATGATGTGCATAATTTCAGCACCATAAAAAAATCTTCCTATGTAATTAACATCTGTAATAGACATCGTACTTGGAAAAAAGACTGCTTTTGTTCTTTTATATTCAAAATCCTAATAGCAACTAATATGCATTACACCTTAACATACCTAAAAACTGTTGATGATGTTGACTTTGGGCAATTACAGTTTGCTCAACAGATGTGCCTGTCTGCTGGCCACTTCCTGTGAAACCATCTGCAACCCCATCCACTTTCTGCATAGGCTTGTACCTAAAATATTAGACGAAAAAAAACAAATAAACCAAATTATTCCTTGCTTTTTTGTACTACCCAAAACTCCCAAGGCATTCAACTTCATTCTACCATCTTTAATGCCTCAAGATAGTCACAGGAATTTTTTCTTTGACAGTCTCATAAAGTTACGATGCAGACATTTTTGGAAATCTAGGAATATGCGCAATGTGCAAGTTCCACTTCCTAACTCTTTCAATAACAAGAAACACGTATACCACCCACAAAATTACAGAAATCGGAAGCACTGTGATCGAGTTAAAAGAGTAAATCACTTCTGAAAACTTTATGATCACTTTCTTCCTAATCTGAGGCTATATGCATACACAACATCATACATAGAAAATAAGAATTCTTTTTGGCACCTGAAGTTACTACTGAAAGTAAACAGGATACAGTTTGGATCATAGAAGCCCAATGAATGCATATTCCGGAAAATAATTTCCAAAAGAGTTATTTCCTTGGACAGCAGTGGCAAGGATGTCCATGATGATAGCTTTAATACACAGTTTAAATGTAATTTTGAATGGGCATTGTATCAAGGTAGAAACATTTTAAATCAGCTGGAACTTTAATCTGAATGAACAACTAGGAGCCAGGGCCTGAGAAATGTTGATGAATGGCTTTCTATTAATATCTCCAAAATCTGATTCAGCCTACAAAACTACCACTGTTTCCCTTCTCACCTAACACCTCTTGTGCATCTCAACTTATCCACCTTCCTGAACTCTCACCATCTGCAAATACAAAGACCATAAGCACCAGCTTGTACAGCTTGTAGCAAAATCCATGCAAGAATTCATCGACGAACCTAATCTGTTATCAAGTTCAAATTTAAAAAAATAAGAGAATCAAAGTCAGCTACAGTTACGCATTTATCTTTAGGTCCTAGTCATACTAACGTATGAATATTCCATACTGCTAAGACAGAGAAATGGGCTTCAGCAGCATGGCCAAGGAGGAAAGGATGCTTGGGAGAGGAATCCCACACGTGAACAAAAGCCTGGCCGAGTCTCCTAGGACATGCAAACACAAAAAAAGAAGTAACAACTATAATTTCTTCTTTTCTAATATCGCATTTGTTTTTTCTTCATTTTAGAAATCGGGAAATAACAGAAAAGTATAAGAAAGCAAATTAAAACCTACAATAAGTTTATTATCCAGAGATACCATCACTGACATTATGGTGTTTGTCCTTCCATTCTTTTTTTTTTCCTACTTCTAATTATAATCAAAACAACCTAACATGCTCACTATCCACCACTTGGCTCTTAGACTAATATCATAAGTCAACCGCATTATGGACAGGGCATATGCAAAGGTACCTGGACTCTGGCAATGGGTATCAATTGGATGCAGCTGGTGACATCACACTAATTTATGCTCAGGTGGCCTCAGGAAATGACTCGATCTTGAATAGTAAATAATTTTAACTTAGATAAATGGAACTTCCAAGAAGATTGCAAAGTCACTCCTAATGACATTCAAGCTGATTTCTCACATAACGATCTCTCTCAAAGAACCATGAAAAGCAAGAACCATGAAAACACAGAGGGTGAACAGGGTGAAAAGAGGGTGCCACACACTTCATACTTATGGTTATCGTTTTAGTGAGGACCCCTCATCACCAGTATGCGGGTTGCTATTTTCTAAAGATACAAAATAATTCAAAGCTACTCTTTTATTTAATGGACAGACAATCTGGAAAGTACTTTTCAATTAGGGCCAGACCAGAAGATGCCAGAGAAGTTAGTACTGTGATGTGCTAGAAACGCGAGTTAGGAAAAAAATGAACGTTTTTCTGATTTTTTTCCTCCTTAAAGAACCATCTTACTGAGGCAAAGAAACTTTGTGAGGCAAGTACTTTGTGGATTTGTCAGGAAGCGCAGTTGCCAGCCGTTCTCTTCTCGCAGGCTTTAATGATTTCATTCTTGTTTCATTCAGGGAAGTTTCTTGTCCACATCGATTCATTCCAGGTTTCATTTGATTTTGGCTTCCTTTTTTCAGCGATGAAATTTTATGTCACTTATAAAATAGGCATGTTTCTTGGTTTAAGTTAACGGAGTTTGGGAGTCATGGAGTTTAAACACAAGTGGTTAAAGAAATGTGAAGTTTTACCTTGGAGAAGAGAAAATGGAAATAATCTCCTATAGACTCCAATTACATCAAGTTCTAATATGGGATAATAAATGATGAGACTTTGCCCAGCTGTGCTTTATCAAGTTTCCTTTGTCCTGCACAGCATCTAGTATACTATATGTGCTTAACAGACACGCATACCTAGAAGAAGTGGAATTTGACCAAAAAAAAAAAAAAAAAGAAAGAAAGAGAAAAGAAAATGACATAAATTCCTCTTAGGCTGTAAGGTTTCAGAGGACAAACGCTGTTTACCTGCCCACAGTGCTTTCCAAGCCTCCTGTAGCCTGCAACTAAAATTATCTAGTTACCTAGGATGATGGAGTCACTAATGGTATTGTAGGCAGTGGAAGGTCTTAAGTGAGAGAGATACTTCTATTAAGTAATTAAAATCATAATGCATTACAATCAACATATGATTGTACCTAATAACTAGGCAGAAAGTTCTGGTAATCTATTTCCAAACATCAGCCAGTGACAACTCTGTGGATCACAACAGTCTGACTTCCAACCGATCACGGGGTTGGTGCAGGCCCGGGCAGCGTTTCGTTCTGTTGTGCACGGGGTCCCCATGAATTGGGGGCCAACTCGACAGAAGTTAACAACAACAACAAGCCTAATAATAATGATACTGAATGGGGAGCACAGCTCAACATTATAGAAGAATATCCATAACATAACAAAAAAGGCATTTTTAAATAGAATGTCATCAATTTTTTAGTTTCTTTTCAATAAACTACATTTGGAATGTACAATAAATACCTTTAAATGGATGAATGAATGGAACGAATGCTCAAGGTAACTTATTTTCTCATGCCATTAATTAATCCGAATATGCATCAAATCAATTGAACAAATATTAATATTGAGCATTTACTATGTGTAAGATATTGTAGGTGCATGGTTTTGAAAGGTTTTGTGTAAGTAGAATTTTTCCAAGATGCTTTCTGTATTCTATTGACTTACAGGATAATCCAATGTTATCTTTAACTTTGGTTGAATTGTAACTGACCTGGCTTTTAGTACTGAATCATATCTTTTACATTTCCTGTCTCTCTATCCCTATTGTAAAATATTCACCATAAATGTTACACGGTAAACAGGGGAGCTTTCTATTAAAAAAGGAAAAAAAAAAAAAAAGACCAACTCTTTGATGAATCCACTTAACACCTGAACTCTTTAGTAATTAGGAGTATTCTCCCTTTATCCCCATTTCATTTACAAATTCAATATTTTTAGACTACGTTTTCTTACAGTAGCTTCTTAGTGCTCGTGAGTTGTGTGTACGCCAAGAAAGACCTGTGCTGCATCGCATGAAGTAACAGCACTTGATTTCAAAATTAGTAAGAGGCAAATAAAGGATAATTTTAACAGCTTGCAACTCCATGGGCAATCAGAGCAAAAGTTGTTAATGCTCAGGAAATCAAAGAAACTCTAATGCTTTAATAGCTGAGTGTATGCAAGAAACCTGTCACGGACACAGAAAACATGGGAAATTGTAAGGAATCATCCCCCATGGGGTTAGTCATAGCTATTAATTAGGACTTGGACAGCTGTAACCCTACTGTAAAAGTAATACCTAATTCTGTCAATAATCCCACATACATAGATACTGAAGCGGCCCACTGCAAGGCAACGATGGTATATATTTGCCATCACATTCAACTAACAGTCCTGGGGGAAGGACTTCAACAGACTAAAAGAAATACTTGGGAAAGTCCCTTTGAAGCAGCTGAGAAATGCACAGGCAAAATGCAAAGTATGAAGCATGTAGGTAAATAGAGTCATTATGATGTTTATAGCTCTAGAAAGTACACAATTGTTTGATTTGTGTGAACGAATCAAAGTGCTGAGCTCACAGTTGGGACAAGAGGCTAGTATTTTCTATTTGAATCTTGACATTTTGCATCTTGCTTTTTCTGTTAACGCTAAATCCTAGAGACTGTTCCATATGAGTACATTCAGAGTTGCCTGATCTTGTTAATGGCTTAAGTCTTCTTTGGAAAAACTGTCCCAGAAAGTCTTTAGACTTGATGTTTGAGATGAACCAAGTGATGTAAACATGAATGGATCAAAAGAAAACAGTGAGTGCAAAGAGTTCCATTCTTTCAGAATAAGAACCAATTCCTTGATGTCACATCGAATATGTCTGTATCTGAATGATTTATAAACTCTATGCTGTTGCCTAATGATAGCTACTTTATCTCTTCAATTCTTGTCGGGGGCTTTCTGGGTATTGGTCTAATAACTATTTCACTCTTCATTAACTACCTGTAATTGGGCAAAGAGAGGGAAGAAAAAAGTCAAGTTCAAATGGGGGTAGTTGTGTTAATTGGCAGCAGTTTTAGTTGAAAATTTGAGAGGGCTAGGGAAAGAAGGTGGTTGAAGCTGTTGGTGAAAACAAAAGCAGTGGATCATTCATTCCTTTAACAAATATTTACAGAGCACTGACAATATGCTTGGTGCTCTCCAAGGTGCTGAGGATATCATGTTGAACAAGGAAGACATGATTTCTTGATGCATGAAGCTTATAATCTGAATGAATATCTTCATGGAATCCTCTTGGCAGGGGTAATTTCTGGTTAACTGTATAGAACTTCTACGCTCCTGGTACAAATATGCATGACAATTTCATGACACTTCTTTTATACACAGCTGGCCTTTCCTGTTCAACAGATTCTGGAGAGAGAGGTCTGCTTTTTATTTGAAGAGTGACAAGCTGGCTCCATCCTGATGCCAAAAGACAAAAAAAAAAAAAACAAAACAACAACAACAACAAAAAGGGGGCATCTGGAAAAAAAAATTTGTGAGCCTCTTGGGTACATCAAAATTTGCTGAGCTTC